AGCTTTCATGGGCACAACCCACTTCTTCAGATGATTGGAGTACTAGAAGTCCAGATCCAAGAATAAATAAGGGAAGGGTGGGGAGGAGGAGAAAAAAGGAGGGGAGAAAAAGAGAGAGACAGTCAGTAGATGGCTCAAGTAGTTACAAGAGGCTGACGAGAACAATTAGCATCTCCATTGTTTGGTTGGTTGGTGAAGTCATTAGGATGTGGAAGGTAGTGTGTGAGCCAGCCCATGCCTCTGTTCATATCATTTTCATAAGAATTAAACTTGTAAATTAAGTTAAGTTCCAGTCCTTCCCTGTGTATTTGGCTTGTGGAATTGGCCTGTAACAACACAGTGACTTGGAGATCCATAAGTCTAATTTGCCATTTGTACAACATGTTAAACAGTGTTAAACTATATCAATACATGAATTACATTGGTTAGAAATGATTTTATCTCAGCCCATTGGAACAAATAGTTTATGGTAACAATTGTCACCACTATAATTTATCTTATGATAGAGCAATTATTTGTGAAAATAAAGAGAGCGAGAATAATAATAAATGCAAACTATATTGATAATAATGTAGAACTTTATAATGTAAAAGAAGGGAGATGTAGCTAGAGCAGAACACCACAAGTCAGGAGTCCTGGATTGTATTCACAGCTTGTTGAATGATGCTTTACCCAAGTCACTTACTCTGTTTGTGCCTCAGTTTATTCATATGCAAAAGGAGTATAGTAATTTTTACCTACTTACAGATTTATAAACTCCTCTTCCTGACTGGTATTAGCTCGCATTTTCAATTCTATAGTATTGGGAAATGCAGACTTTAAAGTCATGGCATAGTTCTACATCATAGCTATTTGTAGGTCAAGGATTGAATTGTTTGCCTATCCATAGCTTTGGGCAGGTGTAATTCTTTGATGAAGTTCAGCATTAGCAGAGTGGAGGAGGAAACGTTCCTGTGGCAGGTTCTGTGTTTAAAAGGGAGAGGGAGAGAAGGAAGGAAGAAGGGAAAAGGCTATTCAAAGGTGCAATTTAAGAATAATATTCATGGACACAGATCAGTGGACAGAGAGCATGTTAGGCAGTGAAAGGTACATGATAAATCATCACATTAAATGGATATCACTTTTTCTCATGGGTAGGGTTGCCAGTTTTAGTTGGACATATTCCTGGAGGCTTCATTGCATGACATAATCTTTAATTAAGGATTAATTTTTAATTTCTGGAGACTCCTAGACAATCCTGGAGGGTTGGCAACCCTGCTCATATGGGGTATGTGTGTATAGAAAAGTAGGCCTCAATCTTGGAAATGCTTTAATGGGAATACTCCCATTGCTAATATTATTCACATTCATAGGTTTTTGCCACAGTGTGCCATAGTGTATGCACCAGGTTGCCAGTATATCAGTGTCCGTGTGTATCTGTCGCCCTTTGTTGTAGGTTACTAAGATGTGTGTGGAAGCCCTTTTCTCCCTCCACCTTCCAATCTGCTTTCTAAGCCATTCTGCTGCCCTTGGCCTGTCCATCTTGGCCCGTGATGGATGTTGTACAGAGAAGACTGTGCCTGTGTGCTGGATTCCTGATTTATGGAATTAGAATACTCAGTCCCAGCATTGGATGCTAGCCCCTAATCAGTGCTTCTCAAGACAGTTCCCTGCAGAGAGTGAGTGAGTCCTGGGGGAAGAAGAGGGAAGAATGGGAGTGCTGCGGAAAGGAAGAGAAGAATTTTGGGTGAAAGAGAGAGATCCTGAACTCCTGTGTGGGAAGAAGACCCCTCCTATCCATGGATGAGAATCTGCCCTTCTGTATTAAAAGTCCCTAAAATTTTCCATTTACTACACTGGCTATAGTGGAGGAATCTTGAATTTGTTAGAAAGCCAGCACAGGTGTAAATTGTGCTTCTATGTGCTGTCAGGTGCATCGATAAAGTTCACTGGTTTTATAGATCTTTATATAAAGGCAAATGTTTCCCAATTTGTCAGTACAAACTAAAATAAATGTATATGAGGAAGATAAATCTCCCAGCTGCTGTGTGTTGAAATGGTACAGGACTCCGCCTCCATAGAACAAGCATAAAACAATAGGCTTGCTAGCCCAGTTCTTGGAGCAACTTTTAAAGTCAAGGTGGTTTGATTAAAGTTGGCCTGATCAGGTTAAAGTGATTAACCTGTGACAGCTAAAGAGCATGAGCTATGTAATGAAAGAATGGAAGGAAAGTTGTTTGCATTCAGGGGGATAACCCCCCACAACAAGAGAGCTGTTGCTGTGCCATCAAAACATTCTGAACATCATGCAGGGATTCAAGGACTAATTAAGTGTTTTGCCCTTATGGGTTTGATGCAAACATTCAAAATTGATTTGAGTTTAAACATATGACAATACTGCCTGTTGAAGGGGTGTAGGGATTGAGGTGGAGGAATAAAGACCACTTTCTGTCATTCCCTGCCCTCAGACCTGTTGTGGGCCAGTTGCCCTGGTATAAGAGTGTCCATCCATGTCCTTATTCCTTACATGTCCCTGGGACACTGGGGTATGTGCAGCAGGGAGTGTGAAGGGGATGCTGTATGTAAATGATCTCTAGTGCTGCAAAATCCTACTCTGTCCATTTATAGGGCAGCTTAGTTCCCTTTGTGCAACCTGAGCGATGCACATCGCGTATTGTGTGATTGAGGACTGGGCTCCCTATCTGCATTATGAAAAAGAACTAGCTATTTAATTGGATCATAATTAGAATTAATTCATTTTCCCTCCTAGGTGTTCTAAATGCACACACTGGAGCTCTTATTTGAGAGCCAGAGAAGAAATCCAAGTTTTAGCCTCAATGTTGTCCTGACCATGTCATTTGGTCATTTAAACGTTTTCTAAAGTAGCTAGTTTTAGGGGAACTGCATCTTTAAACAGGAATTTACTTCCAACACCTTTTAATACACTTGTGATTTTTAATTTGTCCTGGGGCGGACGTATGGCTCTATTAATGAATTACTTCATGGCAATGTTTGATTTCTTCCTCTGTGTGGTGCATTGAAACCTGAGCAGAAAACTTCAAGTTTAATGTAGCTTGAGAATTTTTTTTTAGCTTCATCAGTGAAGCAAAGAAGGAACTCGTCATTATTCTCAATGACTCTCTGAGGGAAGGAACTTAAAAACTTCCATCTCTCAAATAGATAGTATGTTAACCTAGTGGCAAAAACTGTCACCGAGACATCAGCCACATGATTTATAATGTAATGTTGGGAAAAGAACACAAGTAGTGTTTCTGCCATGTGACTTTCATCAGGTACTGATTTTAAATAAAAGCAAATAGTACAACAGTCCCACAGTTTTTGGTGGATCATTGCTCTCTCTCAACAGGTGTTGGTGCAAGCCATTCATTCTAGGAATGATTAAATGAGGACAAAATAAACTGCATGATCTAATGGGACATTGGTGAGTTCCAGGGGTAGACAATTACTTTTTTGTCAAAGTCCAAATTTCTTGGTCAACATATAGTCAAAGTCCAGATTTCAGAGAGAAAAATTACCACCCACAATAATAAGTAGTAGATAAAAAGCCTTTCAGGTCTATTCAAAAACATCTGGTGGTTTGGGTTTGGCCCCTGGTCCACCTATTGACTACCTCTGTGTCATGGTCATCCTCCTGTTTATTCCATTGCTGGTTCTGATTTCTATGGGATAATCCTATCTTTTGCAGATCTAGCTTGCAGAATATTTAATTGTCCTTAAATAGACTTCAGCACTCATGGAACATCACTGTATCATGACATTAATTTCCAACGTTATGATACAATATGGTGCTGATTTATACCTTGCTCACAGGAAGGTGTCACTCATGGCACACTTGTCCCATCCATTAACTGTTCAGAGTTCTCAAAACCATGATTGCATATAAAATGTATGTAGCGCCCCCTCTCCACCTGGTTACCTTCTTTTAAAGCCAATCTCCTTTCAGGTTCGGATGGATAGGTCTGGGTTCTTCTGGATCCCGCCACCTACTCAATTTTATTCTTTCTGATTGATGTACTTGGCGGTGCCTCCACCCCCCTCACTCCTTCCTAGCAGGGTCACCAGGGCAGCTTGGGAGGAAAATTCTAGCCCAGGATAATCCCCACGTATTCGCCAGATAGTTGGAGACTCCCAGAAAATAACACAAACACATACACTATAATAAACACAATTATATTAAACAGGAGACAATTATAACAGAACAGGGTAAAACATTATTTTTAGGGTCACCGGTGCCCTGCAACTGTGAAGTTAGTGTCCCGTTGGTACGCGTACTTTGTTGGGGCCCTTGATGACTGTTGACCACACAATCCTTCTCTGCAGAGGTTTAGCAGTGGGGCTGACTAGGTCCAGTACAGCCCAAAGGACTCACAAATGGGAGAAGGCAGCAAATCCCTCCACAGTTTAATAGGCTGCAGGTAATAAAATCCCCAAACAAATTCCCTGACTTACTAACTAAAAATTGGTGCACTCACACACTCCATGAATGAGCCTCAGGTTGAGAGATGACTCAGTCTCTGCAAAGGGGCTGCTCTCTTCTCACAGGGGTCCTCTTCAAGCAGGAACCAGGCTGCTTCGGTCCCAGAATTTCCCCTCACCGCGAAGGGGTGCAGGGCTCAAGATGCAGACCACACAACTGCACCAAAATTAAAAACTATAGCCTCCCAGGCCAGCCTCCAGACCCACACAGCAGGCAGCAGCCCTGAACTTGCTGCTAGAGCCCAGCTGACCATGCAGTGACTCTCTCACCCAGGGAGCTGGAGAGCCAACTCCGCCTGGCTGGGGAAGCCTCCCAGCAAACTCCACAACTGGGAATCAACAGTGGAGACATAAACCCAGCTGAGGGATCCTGCCTTCAGGTCCCTAGAGGCTAGCTCTCAGGGGGAACCCTGCATGCAGGCCTGGGGCTTACTAGCTCCCACACACTCAGTCCTCCCCTTTCCCTGGCTGGCTCCAGACTCCCCTCAACAATGGTCTCTCCTTCCCCCTGGGAGGGGCATCTCACTCCCTGTGGGTTGCCGGGCAGACTCTGGCCCTGGTAGGGAGGGGGAGCCAAGGCAAACTCAGAATGCCTCTCCCTGAGTTGCCAACAGACAAGGCCCCGGGAATCCAAGCAATCTCCTTGGGGGTTACATGTATAAAAGGGCTATTATTGAATGTATTGCATATGTTGTCAGGTTGCATTATGTCTTCAAAAGTAGCAGTCTTGTAATAATGCAATATGAGCACACATGCTTATCTTTTAAAATATTTCTTATCATATCCTAGATTTGTTGGGATCTGGCTGAGAACACATCTTTCTTCCTGTTTCATGTATAGGGAATTGTTGGGAAACTGTTTAGCTCAAACCTCATTATTAACCTCTGTCTTGGAAACTGGAATTCATTTCCTTTTTCTCTTGGGGTTATCTTGCTGCAGATCATTTCCTTCATTTTGAATCACAGGGACAATTGATAGTTTTGAGGAACACAATCACAGATTAAAAGCAAGATACTCATCTGAAATAAGCTTGCTTACTACATGAACTGGCCCTAAGTCTTTACTTGGGTTTTGATCAACTAGAACGCATGGAGAAATTATTATACAGCTCTCCTCCCTTGCTAAAGAAGGAAATATATCGTCCTGGTGGAATACCATTATCTAAACTTTTTTCATTCTCTTTGTTTTCACAGAGTATGCCTTCTCCTGAGATTAGAGCATAATGAGAAGAAGGAAATCTGTATATCTGTATTAGCACAGCACTCAGTAGTGAATAAGTAGGGTTATATAGTTCAAATCTGTTATGGCACATATACTATAATCTTAGATACATATGTTCTTTTCTTTTATTACCAATAACATTAAAGACATATTATGTCTGAGCTGACTCTTTCCTGGCATATAGAATAATGATGACCACAAAACGACTAATTGAATTTTTCAGATGCTTTTCTTGACCTGATTGTGAACTGTTTGGGCTCTGATATAAGGAAGACGTGGGGCATCCTCCGGAAACAGTCCTGCAGATACACGGTAAGTGAGGCACAAAAAGAGTTTCTCAAATATCTGTTAACATATCCTAAAAATAAACATAAATTAAAAAACAAAACAAAACATGATCACAAGACCATAGGTCCTAGTGCACAAAACAAAAGCATCTGCCACTAATTGCTGTATGGAGTACTTTCCTGTAGCTTAGGAGCAGGAAAAAAGTCTTGTAAGTAAAAGTCTCAGCTTTTTCCCTTCCCCTCCATCTGCTACAGGTGCAATCTGTGCAGCTTCTGGCCTGGCGTTGACTTGATGGCGCTTTGACTCCCATACCTCGTGGACTGGGGTTGATTGGAGGATTAATGAATGAGCTCATGAGTGCAGTGGGCCCATAAGGGCTGACTGATGTCCATCCCAATACTGCCCTTCTCCATGCAAAATGTCACTGTTCCACTGAATCTGGGGTCCTCTATATCCATGAAGAGGGGAATGCAATTTGATCCATAATGCCCATGTAAATGTTTGCACAAGTATTTCCCCAGCACTAGCATCCACAGGGGAGAGGATTTAATGCCCATGCATGCAGGAGATGGAATGCATTTGAGCTAGCTAAAAAGACAAAAGTGTCATATATTGTTTATGAAAATGTCTGCAAAAAATGTGTCCCTGTTTTTTCAAAGAAAAACGTTGAGTTGTGAAATTATTTCAGCCAGTGCTAGGAATTAAGTGGACAAGCCCAAGAGACAGGTAGAATTAAACACTGAAGATGTAGCACCTGTGCATGCAGTTGCTTGAAAAGCTTTAACACAAATCTGAACATGAATAGAAGGCGATTTGGTGGAGCTGGTATGAAGATTGGACCTTTTACTGCAAGAGGCCAAGTTTAAGTGCATCAGGATAAAGAAATGATAGAATACTAGAAACAGTTCTCCCTCTAATTTGTGGTTGACAACAGCTTGCTTCAGTTTTTCTTTGAAGAACAATTTTTTTAAGGATAAATTAAACTGTAAAAATGAATGTATTTAAATACCATGCCAGATAGAAGTGTGCTTGTAAAAACAGACACCAATAATTTAGACCAGATTAGCATAGCTTCATTTATGTGGGCATTGGTACACTAATTTATGCCAGCTTGTCTCTGGCCCTGTGAGTAGAAATTCTACATTGCCAAAATAAAAAAGGTATCTGAGACTGCATCTTGCCTAGTCTTGCCTGGTTTGCAAATATTTAATTTTTTTCAAGCCAATGTTATAAGCAAAATACCACGAAAACTAAGTGTGTGACGGCTCGTGTGGGTGCGAGCGCCCCCTTCCGGCGGGGGAAGGGGGGTTCAGCGGACCCGCCGTCTGGTTGTTGGAGTGCAATCACCCGGCCGCGAGTCCGGACCGGGGATCAGCGAACTCGGGGTTCCTTTTCCTCGGGGCTGGCCCGGGGTACCAGTCTGCCCGGGGTCCCGGCGAGGAGACGGGGTCGCCTCTGGCGGCCTGCCCGTAAGTCGGGTCCCCGTCGGGACAGTCAAAGTGCCAGGGTCCTCGCCCTTTTATCTAGTCACCCCAGCGGGGTTCTGTGGGTTGGGGTCTCGTGGTAGGGAGGGGGGATGTGGGGGACCCGGGCCCGCCCTCTCCACCGGGTCCCAGCCCGGGGCCCTAAGTGGGGGGGGAACGAAGCGTACGTTCCTCCCACGACAGGCGGGGTTTATCCCCGTAACGCGCCTGTCCACGGGCGCCAAAAGGCCCCCGCCCCGGGCTGCTTCCACTCTCCGCTCCCCTCCTCCCCGACGGGGGAAGTCCCGCAGTCACTTACCCCGCCCGAGGCGCCGGTCTCGTCCTGCGGCCGTCGTGAGGGTTCAGGGTCGCTCCCTCGTCTCCTCCAGTGCGGGGGGGGGTTCCCCTCGGCGGCTAGGTCGGCGGTGGTGGCGGCAGCTCTCCCGAGTGCCGCCCCGTCCTGCTCCACCGGGCCGCTTTTCAAACGGCCCGGGTGATGACGTCAGGGGCGCCCGTTTCCCCCCCCCGGCGCGCTC